ATCGAAGATTCGGGGGTATATAGTTTTTGCCCTGTCCGTCCGTCTGTCTGTCTGTTCTTCTGTTGTCTGCAAAAACTTTAATATTACCCATAATATTTGATTGGTTGGAGCTATGGCTTTCACATTTCACATGTGTATTCCTTGTGACAAGACCTTTCTTTGGGTACCACCATATTTGACCTTTTGACCTTGGAGTTTTACCTAGTTTTGCAAAATTTTACCAAACTTTAACCTTGGCCATAACTTTTGAACAATTGATGCTAGGGCTTTCATACTTCACATATGTAAACCTTGTGAAAAGACCTTCCTTTGGATGCCAACAACTTTGACCTTTTGACCTAGACCTAGGAGTTCGACCTACTTTTGAAAAACTTTAACCTTGGCCATTAATTTTGAACGGTTGGTGCTAGGGCTTTCATACTTCACATATGTAATCATTGTGAAAAGACCTTTCTTTGGATAACTTTGACCCTTTGACCTTGGAGTTTGACCTACTTTTGGAAAACTTTATCCTTGGTCATAACTGTTGAACGGTTGGTCCTAGGGCTTTCATACTTCATATATGTAATCCTTGTGACAAGACCTTTCTTTGCATACCAACAAGTTTGACCATTCGACCTTGGAGTTTGACCTACTTTTGGAAAACTTTAACCTTGGTCATAACTTTTGAACGACTGGTGCTTCGGCTTTCATATTTCACCTGTGTATTTCTTGGGAGAAGGCCTTTCCTTGGGCACCATTAATTTTGACCATTTGACCTTGATGTTTGACATACTTTTGAAAAAACTTTAAGCTTTTACATATCTATTTAATGTTTGCTGTTAGGGCTTTCATATTTCACAGGTATATTCCTCGAGACATGACCTTACTTTAGGTACCAACATATTTTATTTGCATTTGAGAAATTTTACCCTTGCTATAAGTTGCAATACGGGGGTTTCAGTGTTTCACAAACACATCTTGTTTTTGTTTTATTATTATTATTCTTATTATTTTTTATTTTAGTAAATCATTCGTTTTCTCCAATTCGAATTTATTTTTTATATTAAAAGGAAATATATCTTTATTTCAGCAATATACGTAATTGGTGCAAGATTTAGGAGATACTGAGGCTCTGAATCTGAAAGGTCAATAATAAAGTTTCATAGTAAATTAATGTATTAAAGTCTATAATAGTAAACTATAGTTAACTACAGAATTTTTTTCGCTATTTTGTGCACAATCTTTATTGTGAAGGATGGAAAATGCATCTACAGATTGTTTTAATTGGTTACTGGGTAGAAGCACAGACACTTGTTTCGTATACAGGGCATCCCCTACTTAAGTCGGGGGTGCCCCGTATATGAAACAAGTGCCTGTGGGTAGCAGCGCTACTTTAAACATTAATTACACGAATATACACAAAAACTGTAATGAAATGAAGTATGGAGATAACGAACAATATTCAAGCTCAAAGTCCATTAAACCAATACAAATCGGAGGCAGAGCAAACACGGACCTCCAAGAACATCAGAGGTGGGATCAGGTGCCATGGAGGAGTGAGCATCCCCTGCCGACCGGTCACATCCGCCGTATGTTCCTTGTCATGATCCGGAAATGACGGGAAAATCCGTCGACAATTCAGTGCGTAAATAATGACCTAACAATTAGTACATATATGAAAAACGTCAGTCAGCATTTTACTTAATTGTTCATACGTAGAGCATGCTCTTGCGTATCGAATCAACTGTGAGATATACACCCCATATGCAGGTGATAAGGGTATACCGCTGCATAAGTAAGAGAAGTTGACGATTGAAAAGTTAAAGTCATCACGTTTATTATAAAGCTTAAATTTATTGTTAGATAACCGTTAACATTGAGAATGGTGAAGATAATGAACAGTGATCAATCTTAAAAATTCTACAAACAATATAAATTTGTAAACAGGGAATAAAACACAAACCCCAGGAAATTCCAGAGGTGGGATCAGGTGCCTAGGAAAAGTAAACATCCCCTGTTGACCGGTCACACCCGCCGTAAGCCCTATATATTGATCAGGTAGACGGAACATTCCGAAGTCAAAATTAGTATTAAAAAGGCCGCCTAAAAATTGGTATAAAAATATTACCCAATAATAGGTTAAATTTGTTACCAAGGTTATAACGACCATAGAATTTACGAAATACTGACTTGAAACGAGATTGTTGAAATCCCTGTAACATCTACTTATATAGCAGTAGCCTGTCTCGGTTTAAAATCTGAACGTACTCAGAGCATGCTCTTAAGTATCGAATACGTTGGGCGACGTAAACACCATAGGCATGTATTATGACAAAATATGTAAGGAAAGTGGACGCATATTGTTTAATCAATCATATGAAATACGGTTAAAATGCTAATTCAATGAAATTTTACTTAGAGAAAGAAAATCTTTATCGAAGGGCCAATTTTATTTTTCAGTAGAAACAATGGGCATATCTTTAAATAAAGATTGGTAGGCTAACACAATGTTTGGTCACAGATTTTACTATATATGCATGGCCTACACTGGCAATCTACATTGGCCAAACGTAATTTCGCCCATCGTCCCTCAATGGCCCAACTTGACGATCAAGATAACGTTGGCGAAGCATTAATTGCGCATCAATTAAGCAACAGTGCACCAGATGCTCCGTTGTTGATTCAACAAGCGACTTCTTAGTCACAATGCTAGAATACCCAACTCTGATATTTTACCAATATTAAGTCCAAGAATTATACCTATATATTTTGTTCTCTGATAAACTTTTTGACTCGGGTGTACAATACGGTCTTCTAGCGCCCTTACTAGTGTTTGATAATATACAATTATGGACTTCAGTGTAGGTCAATATGTCGTTATAAGGACCCATGTCAAGTGATATTGACCGAAGACATAAAAGTAATAGTGACCGAGGTGTCGTTTTCGACTAAGGCCATTCCAAGTTTTTTTTTCTCTGTTTAGCGTCCACCCAATTATCTCAAAAACCTACCTACCTATTTGCAAAAAACACTCAAGTTAAAAAAATAAAAACACAGAATTAATAATCATAAAAATGACGTAATTGAAAGGATTCGATTTCATAAATACATTTTCCCGTAAAAAGATATATTCTTTAACAAAATCAAGGCATAAAATACTTATAATATATCCAATATGAAATATTGTGAACAGATCACTGAAGAAAACGACAAAATTTCATAGGTTTCGACCAGAATAATAAATTTCAGGCCCCGGGATCATGAAACATCTTAAGCTTAAATCAAAATCTTTATGTTGTACCTGATTATTGTAGAAGTCAAGCAAACCAAAACTGAAATATTTTTCAATATTGTTTTACAAAAGTCTTGTTATCTCAAAATTTAGAAATTAATTCAATGATTAATAAAAATTTTACAGGATATTGCAAATTTGACTTAAGTCTAAGTCTGTTTCATGATCATGGGGCCAGGACTCCTGATTTTGTACCTTTCTTATCTGGGGGGGGGGGGGGGGGGGCGTCAGGGTAGCTCAGTCAGTAGAGCGCTCGCTCTGTGATCGGAAGGTCGTGTGTTCGGATCACGGCCGCGACTGACCTAAGTCGATAAAAAATGGGTAGCAACTATTCCTTCGCCATGCGCTCGGCACCTTTGAAGTGAAAGTTGCCGGTCCTTCGGATGAGACCTTAAAAACTGAGGCCCCGTGTCAAGGTAGACATTGGCACGATAAAGAACCCTCACTGGTCAATGGCCCTGAGTACCGAGTAAAGGTCTAAATTTGAAGCCCTTCACTGGTATATGGTGACGTCTCTACACGAGTGAAAAATTCTCGAATGGGACGTAAAACAACATACAATCAATCAATCTTATCTGGGGTGTCAAAAACCAAAACATAGAAAACGCTAAACATAGAAAAAACTTGGAATGACCTAATGCATCCAGTAGGACTTTAGTTAAAACTTGGGATGATTTTGTTTTCGTCTTTTAAAGTTTGTTCACTGGAACTGGTCTATTGCAGATGTTATTGTCAACCCTTAAAATTTAGGTCAAACGGACGAACGATGTGATTTCTATATGGCTATACTGTATTCTTATGGGGGGCCTTACTAAATATAGTTAACTACTCACTTATAATCATACCGTAAAAAAAAAAACAAGATTCATCAGCACTTTTAAATCATTCACAGAATTCATTATTCGTGTTGCACATACAAATTACTTTATTGTTTGAATATCACAAATTTTAGGAGACAAGTTACCTCCAATCTGTTATGATGAATATTTCATTAGTATTCGTTTTATACCTCATACAAATAAATAGAAATGAATCCTTTAGATTCATCTCCAACAAAACAATATAATTTTGTACAAACATGAATATCTCAAATACCATGATTATGTTGAAGTAAACTGGAAGTGTCGACATTTTTTTTTGGTTTTTAAATTTTAACCTCAATATATGGAATCCTTGCATACCTACAAGTTGTTTCTCTGCCCCATCGAGTTCAACATATCAATGCTTTTTTATATTCCCTAATACATTTACACCACAGGCACCTGACCTTACTTTAATTTTTCTTTTTATAAAAAAAATATACCCGCTACCTATATAATCATATAGGTGGGGGGGGGGGGGGTATATTTTTTATTAAAAGAAAAATAAGTAATGTCAGGTGCCTGTGATTTAGTCATTTACACATATATTCAGAGAATTGTGGAATTTATTCCTCTTGCACAGTGTTACATGACAAATGTTACCATTTCAGTTTATTCCCTTAAAGCTAAATGCAATAACATTTTTACTGAGACACATTTAAATGTCTGCGGAAGTGTTATTCAGTTTAACACAGCACTTAAGAATTGTTGTTAATTCTATATGTGATAAAGGTATGTGATAAATTCCATGAACATATTTCATTACATAAAAGTTTTAAAATTATTAAATAAATTTTAAGAAAGACTTTAAAAACAGACAAACAGTTTGAATACTAGGAAACATAACATGTCTGTTTATTTTTTTTTTATCAAAAATTCAGGAGTATTTATAAGGAATAAAAATTTTCTTTCATTCAAAATCTTTTTTTTTTGTAACTGCACATAATCGATTATCTAAACAGTTTGTTAAGGTCAGACAAGAGGTGAATACATTAATATATAATTTTTCCCAAGAACTTGGGATTGAAGTATTGCTATTTTAACAAGTTTCATCACAAAAATTGAGGTACATGTACGTTACCAGGCATTTGTGCGAGGTACCTGAGGATGGTATTTCCTTTATAATGCTATTGGATATCACTTGAGTTGTTGATATAATAATCTTTGGGGTTCACTTGAATGTATATTTTTTAAGACATTTTGAAAACAGATTAGAAATCACAGGATAATACTAATTAAATATGTAAATATTTTTGGTGTGTTTCAAAGAGATACAAAATCAGATATTTGAGGAACGTATCATCAAACCTGAAGTTTAGCATAACATTTTTGATCAAGATTAAAAGGAAATGTATGTTAAGAAACACCCTGTGTTAATTGATACATCAAACATATTTTCTGAATTACAATGAACCCTGTATTAATTAAAAGACCCACTCTCCTGCCAATTTTTTCTAAAACAAAATGAACACATCTCAACACTTTGGAAATTAAAATATAACATTCATGTTTCTCAAATTCATTCACGTCAATGTAAAAAAAAAAAAATACCTATTAGCATAAATACATCTAGTATCAAATGCACTTATGCCCTGTTCACACGAATGCACATTTAGTATTTAATTTGCAGTTATTGAATGGGAAGTAAAAATAATGCAAGTTAAATTGGTTCGTTTGACAGTTAATGCAAAGTTAACTAATGTGCATTAAAATTTGATTTCTACAGTAAGGCTTTTTTGACGTCATTTCCAAATCAAGTCACCTTATGCACAGCAGATGTACATTTGACATAAACTTTGTCTCTGTACACATTTTTTGTGATAAACTTAATTTTCCTTTGTTTTACAAAAAATAGCATAAGTACTTATATTTGACCACTGACATGTGGCATGTTGCTAAATTTTGCTATTACGCATGTGTCAAAATTTAAACTCGAATTAGCTTTTGTTTAGTATTCACATAGAGTTAACAAGAAGCAATTTGATGTGCAGTAAATTAATTCAAATTAAACTAAATTTGCATTAAATTCTCCATGTGAATGCAGTTCAAATTTGATTCGCAGTAATTTGTCTTTAATTTAAATTATACTTTTGAGTGTGAACAGGGCATTACACATTACACACGACCTAAAACTGCATGAACACGACATCCACGTGTGTCATGTGAACTCACACAGGTGACCACACCCAGTAGGACACTGTCTATTGAGACTAAACCATTCTTTCATGTGACTGAGATGACCTCCATGTGAACAACCTTGACACCAGATGAACAAGCCTTTTACAGGTAAATGACTGCAAGAAAAGAAAATTATCAAACTTTAGAGTGAATTGTTTGTACATGTAAATAATGAAATACATTTAGCATGAATAAAAATAATTCTTAAAAATCTAGACATGTATTAACAGAGCAAAATTCAAAGGAAAAAGTAATTATGCTTTTATTTGAAAACTTGATTTTTAAAGCATTTTTTTTTTCATTTACTACATGTCACATTTCAATTTGTCTCCTTATGAATTCAGTAGCAATGCACAGGTACAAGTGATTTTGAGATAAACTGGAAAAAATAATTTGAGAGGACAATTTTTGTTGACAAACCTTTGCTTTTGGATTATTTTTGTGAATATGAGGAAAACAGAATGATCATATTTAATATTATACACAGTATTATGAATGAATTTCACATGGGGATTAATTTTGCAAAATTTTGTAAAAAACCAGAAGTCTCTGAAGAGACTGTAGCTCTACTGGTCTGTACGTATAACAAAGTAGCACTTGGATTTGCAACATGCATTAATAAATAGAATTATGTATCTTAATGTAGTCTACTTCTGTGCCAAGTTATATTGAAATCAAATGAAAACTGTAGGAGGAGTAGCGTTTTGAAAGTATTTCACAGAAAAATTTCTATTTTTAGTAACCACATCAAAAACTGAAATGCATATTATGTATCATAGTGTATTCTAATTGTGTGCCAAATTAGATTGAAATCAGACCAAAACTGTAGGAGGAGTGACGTTTTTAAGGGATTTCACAGAAATTTCTTTTTTTTTGGTAACCATGGCAACACTGTTCATCGAAATCAAAAACCGATGCATTAAATTATGTATCTTAGTATAGTCTTCTTGTATGCCAAATTATATTAAAAGCAGACCAAAACTGTAGCAGGAGTAGCATTTTAAAGTTATTTCACAGAAATTTCTATTTTTAGTAACCATGGCAACACCGTTCATCGAAATCAAAAACTGATGCACTAAATTATGTATCTTAGTGTGTGTAGTCTACTTGTATGCCAAGTTATATTAAAATCAGACCAAAACTGTAGGAGGAAAAGTATTTTTAAGGAATTTCACAGAAATTTCTATTTTTTTTAGTAACCATGGCAACACCGTTCATCAAAATCAAAAAATGATGCACTAAATTATGTATCAAAGTGAAGTCCACTTTTGTGCCAAGTTATATTAAAATCAGACCAAAACTGTAGGAGGAGTAGCGTTTTAAAGGAATTTCACAGAAATTTCTATTTTTAGTAACCATGGCAACACCGTTCATCGAAATCAAAAACCGATACACTAAATTATGTATGATAGTGCAGTCTACTTGTGTGCCAAGATATTTTGAAATTGGACCAAAACTGTAGGAGGAGTAGCATTTTGAAAAATTGTTTACAGACAGATGGACGGACGATGGACACCTTACTATGGCATAAGCTCTTCTGGCCCCAGGGTCATGAAACATCTTAAGCTTAAGTCAAAATCTTCACTTTGTTCTAAAATGTTATAGAAGTCAAGCAGACCAAAATTAAAATATTTTTCAATATAGCTTTATGAAAGTGTTGCTATCTGCAAATTTAAAGATAAAGTTGACAATTACGAAACATTTTACAGACAATTGAAAATTTGACTTAAGTCTAAGTTTGTTTCATGATCCTGGGGCCAGGTGTCTGACCAGTAGAGCTAAAAAATTGCAAATATTACCCCCATGCAAAAATTTCCAAGTTTACATTTTATTTTGGAATTCATGAACTGACAAGTTAATCTACAGGAGCAAATGCCAGTAGGAATGTAGGCAACAAAACAGCCTAGCCCATTTGAGCTAATCAACATGTATTTATTATTCTGTAGATCCTACCATATGGTACAATTGTTGATGACGAGTTTACACCGATCACACAACCAGCCTACCCTCTGCAGCGGTCGGTTACATCTGTGACAGTTGACATGGATACGGGTTGATTGCTGGTTTAACAGGTTTACTTGCGGGAGGTGACTTAGTTTAATTATCGTATTCGCTTTAGTCCATAACTGAAATCTGGCCAGCAGATCTAAAATTAACAATGTAAATTAAACTGATAATAATCAAAGTCAAGGAACATTAATTCACTGAATCAATTAGTGAACAAAGTTAGCTGAACAAAAATCAATGCCTTTAATTTATTTAAGTGCAAATGAAATTCAAATTTTTTCTATAGGTACTTCATGTTAAGACAAAAAAATCTAGAAACAGCATTCTACAACTTTTAAGTGCAAATACAGAGTTAGTCTTATTTCTAAATACATGTATATGCATATATAGTTTACACATTTAATATGACTTGAACTATGAAGCAATATAGAGAGAGAGAGAGAGAGAGAGAGAGAGAGAGAGAGAGAATTTCTCATGATCTGTGGTTGGAAATGATTTTTATCCAACTTGTGTGTTTTTTATCCCCTGGCCTTGGCAAGGGGATAAAAACGTGCATTGGATAAAAATCATATCCAACCATAAACCATGGGAGATTCTTTTTATCATGTTTTATACATCACTATCACTGTTTTACACTGTTTTATACATATAAATCCATATTTTTTTTTACTTCATAACTTTCACACAAAAAACCATTGTGATGTTACAACAGTGGTACATATATATGAAAAAATTATGCAATGAGTGATATTCACAAGATAATGAGGTAAACATGTGATAAATATATATCTTATATTTTTTTTCACTTTCACTGATGTGCATTTAAATTTACCAAAATATAATCTGCCATTAAACAAAAATTTAAGCTTATTACAGAGGGTTTTTCTTATAAAGAGACCTAATTACATCTATTTGTATACATATATACCTAAGTAAGACAAGAACCAGTTTTCTTGAACTTCAGGTTCTATTTGAGGTCGGTATTTAGGTCCAAGGACAATCAGTATACAAACTGCTGTTTGTACATCTCCCTGAAATAAAAATAAAGAATAAGTTTAATATATGTGTTGAAATATTTTTTTTAAATAGAAATCTTTCCATGCACAATACCCAACAAAAGCAAGATACAATAAAACTTAACTGATCTACACACCACTGGTTCCATGGAAATTTGCCAGATAATTAAGACAATATTCTGGATTAAATATCATTTTAAACAATTGAATTTACTGAAATTGACTTAAAGTTTTCAAGGTAACAGGCAAGTGTGGCAGTCAGATGGGTTTAATCACTGGTGGCCAGATAGCTCAGTTGGTAGAGCACCTAACTAGAGAATTTAGGGGGCCTGGGTTCGAATTCCGGTCTGGTCCGTTGCCTTGTCTTCCTTTCTTGTTACATTTGATGCTGTGTCATGCCCTGGAAGTGACAGGTGAAAGACCTGCCAGGGAAGACCCTGGGTTGGTGTCTTTGAAGGCAAACACCGTTAAGATAGGAATGTGGCAGTCAGATGGGATCAATTGCCATCTGCCAGAAAGCTCAGTTGGTAGAGCACATCACTAGAGAATTTAGAGGGCCTGGGTTCAAATCCTGGTCTGGTCTGTTGCCTTGTTTTCCTTTCTCGTTACATTTGGTGCTGTGTCATGCCCTCGGAAGTGACAGGTGAAAGACCTGCCAGGGAAGACCCTGGGATGGTGTCTTTGAAGGCAAACACCGTTAAGATAGGAATGTGGCGGTCAGACGGGATCAATTGCCATTTGCCAGATTGCTCAGTTCGTAGAGCACATGACTAGAGAATTCAGGGGGCCTGGGTTCGAATCCCGGGGGTTTTTCTGGAATTTTTGTGGAGCTTATTTTGCTAATTTCCAAAATAATTTAAATGTGTCTACTGATTTACAATTTTATTTCAAAGCCAATATCTACACTAACCTGCTCTGCATAATGATACAGCATCTTGGAGATAAAATCTGAGAACCGAAACTCTGGGAGTTCCAGGGTATTCCCAAAAAATCCCAGCACCTCCTCCTCCTTGGTGTTCCCGCTGGGGTGGGGGACACTAAGGGTGTTGTTCTCACTCTCGTTGGCGCTAATTGTAGGAGAATCGTGACCATTTTGTATGGAGTCTAGAGGAGTACCATGGTCTTTGATTTCATGTCGCGGTTGGAAGGCTTCAGGTTGTAAGGACCATTCCTAAAACAAAAGAACTATATATGGTAAAGGTATATCAAACATTGGCCATTAAATAAAGTTCTTTTAAGATCTGGTTATTTTGTCAATACTGAGTCTTACACCTGAACATCTTTATATCAATTAAATAACTTAAAAAACACGTTATATTTAATACAGAAGGGTTTTAATGCGTATACAGTGTATTTGGGTAAAAATGATTTCAGTATACATATGTACCGTCTTATTCAATATAAAAATCATAGAATGTCCTCTTAAGTTGTGAATAAAAACATAGGTTGCCATATGGTTGGTTTGTTTTTGAAATTAAAAGAAAATATACTGGTAATTGGAAAACGTATTAAAAAAATTTCAATGAAAATAAAGATTTTAACTGCAAGGGATATAACTCTGTCAAAGCCAAAAACAACCATAAAGAGTCTTTACTTTTCAGGAAATCTTTAATATCAAAATTTGAAGGCAATTACTTTTGATGATAATAAATCAACAAAGATAAATATAAAGTTTTCTGATATGCAACTTAATTCTCCCCATCTATTTTGTAAATAGAATTTTTTAATCAATCTCTAACCTGCAGTCCATCCACATTGTTGTACTGAATGATATCTTGATCCCCATCAGCAAACAGTATATCCCACTCCTCCGGAATAATCTGTCCCCTGGCAATGTTTGTCAGGTTCTCTTTCTTATAGTCCTCCTCATCTGCCCAATAAAATAAGAAATATACGTACACATTTTTGTCAATCTTTGTGACAAGTGTAGAATAAAATGCACATTTAGCGATTTATCCTTAAAAATTGGTATATATTTTTAGTGAGATGTAATTTTAGTGATTTTTTTTAAAATGCTCATTAAACTTTGTTTTTCATGTTTTGCTTAATCTTTAAAATGAGGACAAGAAATAAAATTATCAAAAAAGAACTGGATATTTTTTCCCCTCAATAATCCAAAAGATTTCCAATTTTTTTCATGTTCTATATACCTGAACCTGAGTTGGATGAATCATCAACATTTCCATTACTTATTTCATTTGTTGGAGTGGCTGTTTCTGAGAAATATTTAAAAAAAAAATCAAGTATTAGAATACCACAACAAGCACTTAAGTAAGAGATCAAGAGTTAGCATTACAATGAGTAATCTACATGTATGTAATGTACACTGGACACTATCTTCATACCATCACTGCAAAAGCTTAAAGTATACATCATTTTCCTGAAGATTTGCTTCCAAATAAACATATTATGGACTGAGGTTAATAATACTTTAAAAGTTGATACCTGATAATGGTTCCTGTGGAGCATCTCTCCTTGTTGTTGTAGAAATTCCAACTATGAATATATAAAAAAATTTTTAATCAAAAATTGAATTGTCACAGCTACAAAATATACCTGACAGAATGGTCTCATGCGCCATATATACCAGTGATTATCACATATTTTCTGATTCATAACAAATCTTGCCTCGTTGCGTTGATTCTGTTGATGATGCAAACATGACTTTCAAAATTCTCCAGCTCTGGGCCACCTTAAAAAATGAACAGGAAAAAAAGTAATTCTCTAAGACACAGTGTACCTAAAAAAAAACTCATACAGTTTGTACCGTTACCTTCTTTTTATTGTAATATACATGTAAAACAAATTGTCAATGTGGATATTTACATGCAAGGGAAATTTTAAAATTATATACAAGTAGTACCACTAGTTATACTGTAATCTTTATATAAAGCCACATAAATTTCCCATGTGCGTTTACAGTATTTATAAGTTCAGGAGCCAATTTGATTTTGCCAATTGTCCATTTAAAAATAAATGTAGTGTCCCTGTACCTGTCGATTGTCGTATCTTTCTGCCAGTTGTGCGTTGTTTTCACACATCTCCTGTAGGGGGGCCCCACACACCTGGTAATTCCTGGCACAGTCCACAAAGTACTCCATTGATAAACACTTAATATAATACAGGTTAATTAAATAATCAGACACTTTACAACTTAAAATGTGCACCCCAAAAGAAGTGTGAATAAATTAAATACAGTAAAATTTAATATACATGCACTAAATGTATACATCAAACTACTGGTAAATAATCCATGGATAAATAGTAAACAAAACATTTTGAAAAAAAAAAGAAGTCTCTGACGAGACTGTAGCTCAACTGGTTGTACTAATAAAGGAAGATAAAAGTATTACTTGGACTTGAAACTTTGCAACAGCAATAAATAGAATAATGATCCTTGGTTTAGTCTCTTTTTGTGGCAAGATTTATTGCATTCAGACTAAAACTGTAGGAGGATTAGCCTTTTAAAACAATTTTACAGAAATTTGGATTTAAGTAACCATGGCAACATCATTCAACAAAATCAAAAAACAATAACAACAATTATGTATCTCAGTATATTCTACTTGTAATTGCCAAGTTATACTGAAATCAGACCAAAACTGTAGGAGGAGTAGCATTTTGAACGAATTTCAGTGAAATTTCTATTTTTAGTAACCATGGCAACACCGTTCATTGAAATCAGAAACTGATATACAGAATTATGTATCTTATTTTAGTCTACCTGTGTGCCAAGTTATACTGAAATCAAATCAAAACTGTAGAAGGAGTAGGGTTTTGAAAGTTTTTCACAGAAATTTCTATTTTTAGTAACCATGGCAACACCGTTCATTGAAATCAGAAACCGATACACAGAATTATGCATCTTATTTTAGTCTACCTGTGTGCCAAGTTATACTGAAATCAAAACTGAAGAAGGAGTAGCGTTTTGAAAGTTTTTCTATTTTTAGTAACCATGGCAAGACCGTTCATTGAAATCAGAAACCGATACACAGAATTATGTATCTTATTATAGTCTACTTGTCTGCCAAGTTATATTGATATCAGACCAAAACTGTAGGAGGAGTAGCATTTTGAAAGTATTTCCCAGAAATCTCTATTTTTAGTAACCATGGCAACACCGTTTATTGAAATCAAAATCCGATACACAGAATTATGTATCTTAGTGTAGTCTACTTGTGTCCCAAGTTATATTGAAATCAGATCAAAACTGTAGGAGGAGTAGCGTTTTGAAAATTTTTTACAGACGGACGGACAGACAGACAGCTAGACAGACAGACGGACGGACGACGGACACCTTACTTTCGCATAAGCTCTTCTGGTCTCTGACCAGTAGAACTAAAAATGAAATCAACAAAATTCCCTGTTAAAACATTTACTCATATGATAAAGAATAACAAGAGGCCCATGGGCCACATCGCTCACCTGAGTAACTTTGGCCATGCTGTTCATTACCAGACTTCCCCCCTTGTAATACCTATTGACCTATTGTGGCCCCGCCCTACCCCCAGGGGCCATGATTTGAACAATTTAGAATCTACACTACCCCAGGATGCTTCCACATAAGTTTCAGTTTTTCTGGTCCAGTGGTTCTTCAGAAGATTTTTAAAGATTTTTCCTATATATTTCAATGTAAAAATTGGGATTCCCTATTGTGCCCCCCCCCCCCCTATCCCCGGGGTCATGATTTTAACAATTTAGAGTGTACACTACTTGAGGATGTTTCCACATAAGTTTCAGCTTTTCTGGCTCAGTGGTTCTTGAAAAGAAGATTTTAAAAGATTTTCCTATATATTTCAATGTAAAACTTGGATTCCCTATTGTGGCCCCACCCTACCCCCGGGGGTCATGATTTGAACAATTTAGAATCTACACTACCCCAGGATGCTTCCACATAAGTTTCAGTTTTTCTGGCCCTGTGGTTCTTTAGAAGAAGATTTTTAAAGATTTCTCCTATATATTTAAATGTAAGACTTGGATTCCCTATTGTGGCCTCGCCCTACCCCCGGGGGTAATGATTTGAACAATTTAGAATCTACACTACCCCAGGATGCTTCCACATAAGTTTCAGCTTTTCTGGCTCAGTGGTTCTTGAGAAGAAGATTTTTAAAGATTTCTCCTATACATTTCAATGTAAAACTTGGGATTCCCTATTGTGGCCCCGCCCTATCCCCGGGGGTCATGATTTGAACAATTTAGAATCTACATTACCCCAGGATGCTTCCACATAAGTTTCAGCTTTTTTGACCCAGTGGTTCTTGAGAAGAAGATTTTTAAAGATTTTTCCTATATATTTCAATGTAAAATTTGTATTTCCTATTGTGGCCCCGCCCTACCCCCGGGGGTCATGATTTGAACAATTTAGAATCTACACTACCCCAGCATACTTCCACATAAGTTTCAGCTTTTCTGTCCCAGTGGTTCTTGAGAAGAAGATTTTTAAAGATTTTTCCTATATATTTCAATGTAAAACTTGGATTCCCTATTGTGGCCCCGCCCTACCCCCGGGGGTCATGATTTTAACAATTTAGAATCTACATTACCCCAGGATGCTTCCACATAAGTTTCAGTTTTTCTGGCCCAGTGGTTCTTGAGAAGAAGATTTTTAAAGATTTTTCCTATATATTTCAATGTAAAACTTGTATTTCCTATTGTGGCCCCGCCCTACCCCCGGGGGTCATGATTTTAAAATTTAGAATCTACACTACCCCAGCATACTTCCACATAAGTTTCAGCTTTTCTGGCCCAGTGGTTCTTGAGAAGAAGATTTTTAAAGATTTTTCCTATATATTTCAATGTAAAACTTGGGATTCCCTATTGTGGCCCCGCCCTACCCCCGGGGGTCATGATTTTAACAATTTAGAATCTACATTACCCCAGGATGCTTCCACATAAGTTTCAGTTTTTCTGGCCCAGTGGTTCTTGAGAAGAAGATTTTTAAAGATTTCTCCTATATATTTAAATGTAAAACTTGTATTTCCTATTGTGGCCCCGCCCTACCCCCGGGGGTCATGATTTGAACAATTTAGAATCTACACTACCCCAGCATACTTCCACATAAGTTTCAGCTTTTCTGGCCCAGTGGTTCTTGAGAAGAAGATTTTTAAAGATTTTTCCTATATATTTCAATGTAAAACTTGGATTCCCTATTGTGGCCCCGCCCTACCCCCGGGGGTCATGATTTTAACAATTTAGAATCTACACTATCCCAGGATGCTTCCACATAAGTTTCAGCTTTTCTGTCCCAGTGGTTCTTGAGAAGAAGATTTTTTTATGACCCCACCCTATTTTTGTCTTTTCTTGATTATCTCCCCTTGTAAGGGGACTTGGCCCTTTATTTTAACAATTTAAACTCCCCTTCCCCCAAGGATACTTTGTACCAAGTCTGGTTAAAATTGGCCCTGTGGTTCTTGAGAAGAAGTTGAAAATGTGAAAAGTTTACAGAAGGACGGACAGACGGACGGACAGACGGACGGACGACGGACAATGGGTGATCAGAAAAGCTCACTTGAGCTTTCAGCTCAGGTGAGCTAAAAAACTGTGAGGTTCGATCACTTGCTCTGTAACTATTCACCACTGCAAAACATGCAGTCTCTAAGTAGACAACATTCATAATTCATCTGCAAATGTTGAATAAAATTTAAAACAGTTTTGCATCAGTGATTTAATTTAAAAGAAAGATGAAGGATGTACTTGTTTTACAGTAAACCTTTGACACACATTTAATTATAGACAATACTAGTCCACAAAATGCTCAACAAATAAAAAAATATCTATAATTCTATCAGAGGTACATGTAGCTGTTCTTGCAATGTTAATACAATATTCCACCTTACCTTAGAGGATTTAGTTATCACAAACATCAGACTGTTTTTGTAGGCAAGAAACTCTTCATTTTTTGACACATCTTTCTTGGTTGTTGTAAAGAACCTTCCCGATCGTACTGAAAAAAAAAAGCTTATCAATTATTTTTCTGCACCAATCCAAAAAAAAATGTCTTAAACTGTAAAGAATCATTGTTCATTGTAAAAATATAACAAGAAATTTTTTCTTCAGATCAACATTTTGAGAGACTGAGTAATTTTTCTCTTGCAAAATTGTGCTCCCTGAAAAAAAGAAGAAAAATTGCTGTAGATGACGTCTTGCTAATGAGAACTTTATTTGAGTGTTAATATTGTGACAGAGATTACATGTATATCTACATCTATACAATAAGCTCTCATCATTAATGGGAAGTAACTCTAATTGTACCAACCTTGAAAAAAAAAAATTGAACATTATGCTTTTGGATTAATGGTAAGTCGATGCCTTTCAAACTTAATATCACAAAATTCTCAGTTTTACTTACCAGTTAGGTCTGGTTTTTCTAGTGTAGCATAAGAAATATCTCCATGTATACTCATGTCCAACCCTGCTGGAACCAGATCATCTGCGGGCCTCTTAGCATCCTTAAACACATGCTGATACAGGTATGTGTCTCGACTACAGCTGTAGAGAACATGGGGGTCATCCTTCCTCCAAATGATACCTAATAGGGTAGATTATGTAGATAACACACTCTATCAATACATATCAAATAAATGGTCAGAAGAGAAAAATCACCTGACTGGTGTAATCTAAAACATAAGACTACTAGACAGACTGATTTTATATAGGCAAATCTAGTTTACATGCTGGATAAAAGTTTATGCATTCAATGACATATAAAATGATGAATATTAATGAAGAGCTTTTTCTCCTAGAAAAAAGTTATTTCCCCTGGACACTTTATTCCACTTCTTTCCCCTTCCTTCTATGCTCAATAAAATGAATTTATCATAGATTATGAATTTGCTTTTAACAACAAATTTAAATCGAATGAAAGAATCTAGAGAACAAAATTGAATAAAAATATGAATAAAATTAATAATGACTGTTATAGAAGAAAGTAGTCATGTGATGAAATTTATTCCAGGTCCAAATTTAATAGTGTTACTTCTGAACCAAAGGAATACATACCTGTGGCAACATCTGTGTGTTTGTCAAATGAGGCAAATGGTACGTAGGGTCTATTAATGTCCCACACACTGACAGAAAAATCCACAACAAAGGAGCAGCTGGCGATAAAGTGTCGTCTCTGGGGACGCCACCGTATCCTAGCAACAGATGCCAATGTGTGAATCTGATGAACTACCTGAGTTTTAGGGAAATCCCAAACCTGTAAGGAACACTTCTGTTTATATAAAAATTTCAGAAGTACATATTTCAGTGAATATGATTTATATTTGGACTGTTGTGCTAAACAAAATTGAAGATATCTTTGAAATTCTAGGAACATAATTTTTATTACTAGGAAATTAATTTTTTTTTTTTACCTTTATTGTTTTATCTCGTCCACCAGTGGCAAACAAATTTCTCTCCTCTGGGTGCCAATCTATGGTGAAGACGGGACCGTTGTGAGCCGCTGTGATTTGTTTCTCAGGCCGATCAGGTCGTCGCATATCCCACATCTGAAACAAGTGTAAACAATTTTAGTAAACAAGTTACAGGCCAATAACACTAAACAGTAAGTCTAAAAACCTTAAAGAGAATAGAATGATACACAGAGAGTACTTTGGATATAGAAAATTTCATTGCTGAAAAACAATATAAGCAAAGATTACAAGCTCATGGCCATGATATTGTCAACCTGAAAGGCAATCAACATCTCTAAATGCATCATCCATGCAAGTTTAGTCCAGGTGGGGCCTACATGACCTGAGAATGGACCTACTGCATAAACTTAAACCTGACCACTGACAATTTATCTATATAATACATGTACAAGTCAGGTGCATCAATACAAGTCTGAAGCATGACTGTTACATGTAGTTTGCATTCCTGGATCATCGTGCATTCAAGTTTGATCCAAGTAGATTTTACCATTAATACATATATATGTATTTAAGAGATGAATTTATATTTTTGAGAATTCATGAGGACATGACCTACGACGCTTCATGCCGGCATATTTCATGAAGTGCGTAAGCGCTTCATGATAAACATGCAGGCGTGAAGCGTTGTAGTTCATGTACCTCAGGAATTCTCAAAAATTAAATTCATCTCTTATATTTACATTGTCATTATTTTTCTGATGACTTGCCACATATTTTTATTTTTCAACGATCATTTTTGAAAAAAAAAGTTTGCACTATTTTGACTTCATGCAGTCACATCACAATGGAAATATTCTTACTCATCCCATGGTAGTTCATGAGAACATGAACTTTTTCTAATTTGCAATGAATCTTAAGGAAAAAAATATTTGGAAATGTAAATATTTGGAAATGAACCTTCTCCATAAACTTTCACCTGGCCAGTAGCAAATCATCCAGATATATGAATAAGATGCAGCATGATCGACATGTAGTCAGCACCCCTAGCTAAATCAAATATGTAAAATTGGTAAAAGTAAGGCTTACAGCTGCTCTGGTATAATAATGCTCTAAAACCCTGAACCTGGACACAGAGTTTAATTACATTTTTAGACAAATCCATATTTACACACGTTTATTTCTTCACCAGAACTTACATGTACAAATCTACATTTACACATGTTTATTTCATCACCAGAACTTACATGGACATTACCACTCTCATCAGCTGCTGCGAAGAAGAAATCATTGAATCGCGGAGGACACCACTGCACATCTCTGATACTATTTCCAGACTTAAACACACTGCTGGAAACATGCTTACGTAGATCCTATTACCAAATAAAAAAAAAATTGTCAAAAATAATGAAAAGACCACAATCTGAGATTAACCAAACAATTTTATTTGAAAAAAAAAAAATCAATGCTTGTATGCTATAAATTGAATCTTACAAATAAATGTTAATTAAATCTTACAAATAAATGTTAATCAAATCTAACAAATAAAATGTTAGTTCAATCTTACAAATAAATGTTAATTAAATCTTACAAATAAATGTTAATTAAATCTTACAAATATATGCATGCTTCCATCCTGAGATCCGCTGAGTAAAAGGTGAGCATCGTTCTCATGAAAACGAACTCGATTTACCGTCCTTGTGTGATGACCTTGGAAGACATACTCTACAAAACAGCGGTAATCGAAAAAATATTGCATTTGGACATCACATTGAAATATATGTCCTGATTTCAAATTATTTCAGAGATCTCATCACACAGAGATACTGATGATGCACAACATATCCTTTTATTGTGACGTTCACTAGCGAAACATGATAAGGCTAGATTAAACGACAAAACAAATGTGACTCATACATGCTTTCTGATAAGTTACAGGAAAAAATGTTGATTCTAGGTTTAAGTCAAGATCATAATTGGGTCAGCACACACTGTATAATGATACGCTCACATGCAAATGTCATAAAATTAGGAAGAAAATTATCTTGGAAAGACTCTGTATACATGTAACTAGTCGAAAAATTAATAATTTGACCTTCAAGGCAAGGTCACTTGTGAATGAAGAGTCATTGAAGTTTGATGGTGCTATACACTGTGTGCCAAATATCATATGCTTATGCTTAAAGTATGAAAACATCTTGTTCTAAATAATTCTATCAACAATTGAAATTTATGTAAACACTTCTCAGCATAAAAGACACCTAAGATTCCCTGATATAGCAGATACAGTTGAACTTCGGTATCTCGAACAAGGATATCTCGAATACCATTGATATGTCGAATTGATTTGGAAGTACCAACTGCTTATTCCTAAAGTATTTTACTCTGGATATCTCGAATCCTCAGTTTTCTCGAAGTATTTCTTGGTCCCTTTGAGTGCGAGATGACAAGGTTTGACTGTATTACATGCACCAGATTCCAAGTCTGCAAGCAGCTCTTCTCTATACTTGTACATGTATATACATATATAATTATCCATTTGCTGTAACAAGGAACTTTAAGCTTACCTTGTTTAGAGTGAGAATGACGATTTAAGTCCCAAAGAACCACAGAACCATTGGTTGCAGCAGATGCTAAATAGTGATCTAAAAATACACATTACATGCCATTTACTGCCCCAACAAATATTATTTGAGTGATTTAATCTTATTAATTTCTTCCTCATAGTTATGCTATTTCCATAAAGTAGAATTAAATTCAAACATCTACAATATTTCACTCTTATAATTTTAAACACATACCTTCAATGTGATTCCAAGCAACATCAGTAGAGCTAAAATTCAAATTGAGATTTTTTCCCACCCTAAGGTTCAACTTTTCCTCAAATTTATCTTCTTCAATATTATAGATCTTGAAAACTGAAATGAAAATGTGGTTCATGATTAACTAAACCTATATTTTTCTTAAGGAAAAATTTTTCTTATCAAAAAAATATTTTCACAAAAAAAGCAAAATAACATGTAACATGCAGCAAGACAGAGAACTTTAAATTTAAAATGTGTTTCTCATCTTACTGGCTTTGTTTTGATCTAGCTACTGCAAAGAAAGAAAAATCTAAGGACTATATATACTTAAGTGAATAATGTACTTACTACATACATTCATGACAAAAAATTTTGCTACTGCTAGCTTGAAAGACTTAAAGGCACCAACTGCCATTAAGTAGTGTATAAAGAACTGTGCTAAATGCCATTAAAATAATGACCTATCATTTCTACCTGCAACTATTACTTGTGAGTTATCCTTGCTGGTGTCCAAAGCATTAATGACCTACCATTTCTACCTGCCACTACCACTTGTGAGTTATCCTTGCTTGTGTCCAGGGCATTAATGGCTCCTTCACAATTTACACACAATGTTCTCAATGGGTTCGGAGAAACTGGGAAAATAATAAAATGGTTCTTAAAACTACAACAGTTTTTAGAGAGATTTTTAAAAAATTTCAAGGAGTTGAGTTCCTGTTTTTTTTCATTTGCTACTTAAAAGCATGTCAAGGAATTCATGCAAAATTTTTAATAAGTTTTTCAGGTTTCATATGTCAAGCATTCGTGCAAAACAGCCACTGTATCAATCAAAACTGCAAATGAAAAGAAATATGAACACCATTACTTACTGTACATTCCTTATTTTATATGGGTACTTAATATTGCAATATGACTTCTAGACATCAAATGACAAGATCATGAATTCGTTACTGAACTGAATACATCGAAAATTGTCTAGAATTTTTACATGCACTTCAGCCATATATATATAAAATAAAAGCAAATAATTTTATTTAACTTGTGGGGCTTCTTGCAAAATTAGGTGATAATAATTTACTTGCATGTATATTGGAGTCTACAGTACTTTCCATTTATGACTGTACCAGATACACAGTATTAATATCAAACTTCTGAAAACTCATGCATGCGGTTTTACTTTAATTGATACGTCATGTATATACATGTACCAGATGTACAGTATAACAAACTTCTGAAAACTCAAACACATGGTCTTACTTTGATACGTACATCTACATGTACATGATGTATGAAAATTAAGACAAAAGTCATTTTACTATATACACACTGAATGAACATAGGGAAAGACTTTTAATCAAAATCAAAATGCATTTTAATTGACTGATTTTGTTCATTTTAACAGATTTCAGATAATCAAGAAAACACACTGGTATCAAACATGAATTCATAACTAGTTTAGGTGAAATGTTTCTTAAAAATAAATGACAATGGAAAAGCTAGTTGCATTATTTTTTTTACACCATCCTTGGAAAATTAGGCACCACTGCAGCAAATAAGAGGAAAAAAAGCAAAATAGAAACAGTTCATCAAGACTTATAATAATTAAACAGAAGCATCCATACAAAACATGCACATTAAATACATACATATACTCATTTTATCCAAAATGTAAACTTAGTAAACAGTAAGCATCTTCATCATGCACAAATACCATATTAGTTATCTTCTCTAGAGGAATAAGTACTGGAAAATGAAAAGATATAGAACACTGTACCATTCACTGTTGTTTGTGACATGCATGAATACTAATACACTAGCAGGCACAAAATCAACTGAGAGAATAATTAGAAAGCTTTTAACATAAAACAATTTAATGCCTTAAGTTTAGATGCAAGACATATGAGAATATAAATTAACCTGTCATTTTTGCAACATTAGATTAAACTAGGGATATATATATACAGTCGTGTATACTGGAGAAGAAAGGGGTTAGAACATTTACCTCTGTCATGAACCACACGAGACACATTGTGAACAACATTCATCCCTCACTGTTTATATGGACTGCCTTCTCCCTTGAATATCATGTCCACTGTATTCTGCAATATATATAATAAATACCATGCAAAAGATACACATGTAAAACTTACAGGAGTTTAACTTAAATGGTACAGTCAAAAATTTATATCATTTTAAAAAAATTCTTAGTTTTACATGATTTCCCAAGGAGTTCCACCAAATTCTCACATAACACATATATGGTATTATGCTGCATTGAATTGATTCATTTTCAAGATTTTGTAAAACCCTTTTCACATTTTGGTTGTACACGTTTTTCGAGCCATAATGTTTCATCAGAATGCATGCTGTTTTGAAGCATTAATTAATTAATCTCTTATTAATTCTGAATACAATAGACTTCCTGCAAATAAGACAGAAATGTTGCTATGTAGACTGATCAAGTCAATCAATAAAGTATGACATACATGTACTTTAAAACATGTAAATTTCCACTTCTTCCCTAAAACGGAGTCTATAATTACAATATACGGATTTCATATGAGAGAGACAGATATATACCATTGCATTATTATAAACTGCAGTTCATGTAAATTATTTTCAGAACTCAAAAATGAGTAGGCCCCATAGATTTTGCAAACATTTACTACATGAACTATTGATTTGCAAGAATTTTAATATATCAGGTGGTTTTAAAGACAGAAGGGGCATAGTAATTTCGGTATATCATTGAAATACCTTTAAAACAAACATAATAAAATATAAAAACATCAAACAACACCTGTCTATAAGATTATAAACATTTGTAATCTGTCCAGACACAAAAATGTCAACATAACCTGAATAATATTTTACTTTCACTTTCAAAGACATCAGACATTTCATTCCTTAAAATATTCGGTTTGATAATAAAAATAATGAATGTAATGTTTCGAGTACTAATTTAATATAAAATATGTGAGTTACAAAATATTATACGTGTTTTTACTTTAAATTACTTGTATCTGCATTCAAAATGGGCATTTATGAGGATTTTTGTAAGCAGGTTGTAGATATTTGAACGAGTTACTTTTTATTGAACACATATTTTGTTGACGTCACTGAAAATGATGATGTACAGATGGCGCACTTGGAAGTAAACCAACTTCTCCCAAAATTGACATAATATACTATCTCAGATTTGTTTATTGACTGATTTTATAAAGGAATGAATCCTATAAGTGTTTATGTGGCCACCTGTCGGTATGTCATGTCAGCACGTTTCACCGATCGCGAGACTTGGGTCGATCTTTATCGCTACCTCCCCTACCTTAGACAATCACTGGGTTGTTATGTATGTAGAAACCTAGCACTCAACCCACATTCACCGTCGCATAAGAACTGTCAACACTTCGTGTGCAAAGATTGCGTAGGTGGCAAGATGAAACTGAAGCCACAGTGCAGTTGGTGCAAGAAATACGATGGATTTGTTGAAAATGCACAGTTGAGGATTGTTATTCTTGGATTCAAGAGGATTTGTCATTTCATTCATAGTTCACCAATCATGACAGCTCTAAGGGAAAATACTCTGAATGGGGAAAATGATAATTTAGTCCGGATAATCGAAGACGGTCTTAAATTTGAGGACGATTTCAAAATGTGCTCACCTATTCCTCTACCACCAGTATTGTTGCCCAGTCAGTTGTCATTGAGTGTTAAGAAATCTTCAGATTTACCAAAGGTAGATCTTGTCCGACCCCTGTCCTCCACATCAGAAACAATTAGTGAACAAGAAGATAATCTCTCACCACCTGTATTGGAAAAATCTCAAGAAATAGACAAAGAACTTGAAATTAATGTTGATGTTGAAACACATGAACTGTCACCTACAACATCAGAAGAACTTATTGATGTTTGTAAGTTACCAAGTCCAAGTGAACAAGACAATAATTCACTAAAAAGAAAGAAAGAGCCAGTTTTATCATTTGAAGCTTTCCAAAATACAAAATTATTAGAACACAGACTACTTGAAGTTAATTGCATTGGACCAAAGGGAGGTAACCTGAGGATCTCTTCCACACCTATTGTGGAATTGTCAATGAAAAAGTCAAAACATTCAAATAATCCAAGTGATGTGAAAATATGTAAATGTGGCAGAGGAGGAACAAACAGTAGATTGACTTGTCTAGGACAAAGATGTCCGTGTTACATCAAGAAACTACCTTGCATCAACTGTAAATGTCGAGGTTGTAGGAATCCAAGGAAAGCCACTGCAACTAATTCTGAAATCTTAACAAACAACAATAACATTTCTGATTCTTCTTCATCTGTGGACACACAAGTTTCCCAAAATGAAAATATCTGTGTTGTTTAACAGTAATTAATGTCCTCTGAAACTATTGTGATAATTGAACTTATATTTATTATTGCTAGAGGAATAAAAAAATAGGAGAAATATTTATGTACAAACGTTGTTATCTCAAACCCCATGGGACGGAGAAAATACTTCGAGATATCCGAGTGTTCGAGATATCCAGGGTAAAATAATTTCTTCGACATATCCATTGTATTTGAGATATCAGTGTTCGAGATACCGAAGTTTGACTGTATCTGGCACGTCAGGGCACCAGAATAAATTGCTTGTTAATTTATGGCTTTTAATGTATGTAATTTTTTGAATTTGTTTTAGTAAGGTCCTGACCTTGTTCAGAAAGCTTTATATTGTTATTATGGTTAATTTTGAGAAGTTTACATATAGAATTTAACACTTGTCATGTTAATATAAGAAACATATATTCAAATTGAGTTTTACAAATCATCCAAGTAAAACATGCCAATATATCCTTTCTGGTCTTTTTATGATTATTTTTATAAATATATGGATATTCAGTGTATGAAATAATATTATATTCCAAATACAAGATTCACTCTGACAAATATTCATTGACAGATTTTTTCATTTAAAATGTAATGTTCCATAGTAAAAAAAAAATATGGACAAATGAGCTAGCAATTTTGGTAAGTTTCAGATTGGAAACAGTTATTATTGTGTTTTTTGTTTAAAACAGGGTATACACATTTTATATGAGTTGTATTATGCTTTGTGGAAAGGAGTTAGTATTTTAGTTCATTCATATCATGTACATATTTATAGTTCTTCACTAATGACTATGAATCTTCTGAGTGTCTGAATTGTGACTAGAATTTTTATACTTTTTTTAGTTTTTCTTTTAGAAAGTCTGAACATGTAGTGTTATATGAATGTTGAGATTTGGTGAGTTGTTGTGTCTTTTTAATGTACATTTGTACAAGTGAAATTTTGAGTTTTGGTTCAAGTGAGAACTGCTTTTGTGTTCAGTCTTGGTGTACGTGTTCTGCAATATTCATCATGTTTGTTGTTCAGAATATTCACAATCAAGAACACGACATTCATGAGTTACATATAAGTAAGCCATAAGCTATGTCAAAGTCATTTTTCAATAAGAATTTGTCAAATACCTTTTAGCATGTACAAGATTTCTCAAGAGACATCTGACTAAATATAGCATGCTACTAAATTGTGCTGCTTAAGATTTTGTCTCTATTTAAAAGAAATCTACAGTTTTTTTGTAGTATCAATTGTGCTAAAATATGTAGAAAGCAGATATATTAAAGTTGCACATGACCAATTCTATGTTATGATGTAATTTTGTTCTTAATATCATAAATTTTCAGAAAAAAGTTTAAATGTCTCTTCTATTTCTTCAAATATTATAATTTATGTTTCAATTTTGTATTCTCATAAATTCATGTACTAACAATGAACAAAGCAGGCTCTTTGTCAGTTACAAAACATTTAATTGATACATGATGTAATTGGATTTGTCAAATTAATCCATCTTTGTGGAACTTCATCATTCGATGTTCTAATAATAAAAGATCATGATATCACAAAGACTATCATTATATAGTGTTGAATTCCTTTAAATCTAATTAAAATTAGATCTTTGATCCGCTCCAACTAGATCAATCTAATTAAAATTAGATCTTTGATCCGCTCCAACTACACGCTACACAAAGTAGCGATCTAGTTGAAGCGGATCAAAGATCTAATTTTAATTAGATTGACTTCCGTTGTTTCACATTTTCAGTTTAATATCATGACTTATTTATTGCTAGAGCAGTTCACATCGAAATATAATAAAAGGGTGTTTAAAAACTTCTTTTTTCGGGAAATTATTAAAATAAATTTATGAATTTTTGGGACGCGTTTGATTGACACATATCCTTGCACTTCACGAAGTAAACTTTATCCTTAATACTTTAGAAAAGGAGAAATTTTGTTGTGTATTAATGAAAAATATTAAATTTTAAACTATAATCCAGAAAATTCAGAGTAGAAATATGTGAAATCAAAACCAGCTCACCAGTATTGTCAGTCCGTGCTCAGTGATATGTGGAGAGTAAATAAATTGAACACACCCATTAAAATAAACAAAAAAGATAACGGAGCTCATTCCTTGTTACAAACAAATGTTTGACGTGATGTTATGAAGAATGTCGTTGTCATATCTAAGAATATTCACGTAAGCTCAATTCATTTAAATGAATTTATTTTTTAAATAAAAATAGAAATATAGAATTGTAAACGGAAGGGCAATGCAACTGTGTCCAGACCCCTTTCATAATATATTCCTTTGATTTTTATTGTTAAGTAAGATTGATGTAGATGCACTGTCTGTTTTAGGGCTGTATAAATATATCGATATGTATCGATGTTCAAGAATATATCGTATCGAAAAAAATTACTTTCAATTCGTATCGGGCAAGTAGTTTTTCATATAATTCAGTTAAAAAGTTGGAAATTTCAAACACCAAAGTTTGTATTTGTTTTCAATTAAAATTTATCAATAATGATATGATCATTAAGGAGGTAGCACATCTTAGATAATTAATACAGAATACACAGACACCTTTAACATGTAGATTTTACAGTCGTTAAAAGTGTGATTTTGAAGTGTAATTTGTAATGATGGTAAGACGAGAACTTTGAAATGAGTTGTAAAACAATAAGTTTTTATAAAATTCATGCATTAAATGATTTGAAGACTTTTTTGATAGGGTTGTTAAAGAAGCCAATATATTGCATATCGCATTATAAAATATCGTTTCGTATCAAAAAATTTTGCTCAATACACAACCCTAGTCTGTTTGACAGACTTTGATCTGATATGAAGTACTCACCTTCAATTTGAAGACCATACAAAAATGATCCAATAGGTAAATGGACCAGTGTATGGATTTTTTTTTCAGAAGTAAGATTTTCTGTATAAATTTCTGTAAAAAAATGACTTTGACTATCACATCCGCATACAGTTTTATACTATAAAACTATATGTGGATGTGATAGTCAAAGTCAATTTCATACAATTTTTCCTTTGACCAGTAGATTTGACCTGAAATAAAGCACTCGACTTGAGGGCAGACATATATCAGAATGAAAAGTGCGAAGATGACCAACAGTGATCTATCTCAAAAAATATAAGCAATACCATTCTGTGAGAAGGACATAAAACATGGACCTCTGGAAATTCCAGAGTTGGGATCAGGTGCCTAGGAGGAGGAAGCATTTCCTGTTGACTGGTCACACCCGCCGTAAGCCCTATGTATTTATCAAGTAGACGGAACATTCCGTAGTCAAACTCGGTACAAAAAAACAAAGGTCTAACAATTGGTATGAAATTCGGCCCAATGATAGTTTATATTTACCAACAAGGTCATTATAACGACAAAAGAATTTCCGAAATGCTGACGTTAAACTAGGTTGTTGAATTTTAAACATATTTTTCGAAAATATTGGAACCCATTCGATTTTTAAGTTTATCATCTATTGACTGAATCAGTAGTCAAATTTAGTTTAAAAACAAGGACCTAACAATTAGTATGAAATATGTCAGTCACAATACGATCCATGCAATGATAGATTTGGTTTGCTAACAAAGTCATTAATTACGACCATAGAATTCTTTAAACGAGGTTGTTAAAATCCCTTAACATCAACTTATATGTCAGTAGCCTGCCTCAGTTTAAAATTGATCGTACTCGGAGCATGCACTAAAGTATCGAATAAGTTGGGAGACATATAAACACCATATGCAGGTGATAGCGGAATATTACTACATAAATAAACACAGTACGTCTGAAGCTTCTCCTTCACAGCTGTAAGTACAATTTTAGGAGTAATGTCATAGGGGCTTGGTAGAGCACTTGCTAGACACGACAATATATCTTTGTAAGGGTTTCTATGAAGTTTAGGAATCCAGTATAAGTAGTGTAAATCAAACTCACCGTGGTTGACTGGAATGTTAAAAGTATTAAGGACTGAAATTTGATTTTGAAGAATTTTATCTTTAGAAAGTGAATTGTTAGTATAAGTAGGATTTTCAAATATTGAATTAAAACCAAGGTCTTATAAAATACAGTTATGATAATGAGCCTTACAAACAAGGAGATGTTGTTAGAAGCTTTGTCTGCTGGAACGATAATATATTATTGTTCATGTAGTCTTTCTTATTCTTTTGTCACCTCTGTTTTAATGAAAACGGAGGATAGATGGTTCGCATATTGCCTTTTAACTTTCTAATTTTTAACTTTTAAATTGTGGAAGTGGCATACTTAAAACATCACTAAGTTTCATATTAATTATATTTAAACATACCGTTAACACAAGGTTACCATGAAGTAAAACTATTACGGTATAAAACATTTAAAAGCCTCACTAGTGTACACGTGTAAGTAAGGGAAATTCAACAAATCAAGAAAGGGCATGCATAACATTTTTTTTCCCCAGATTTCAAATAAAATCAGCATCAACTAGTTTTATTTGTAACGAGGACCATTACAGATGTTCCCCAAATTCTTCCAACCCCCTTTTGGTATCTTATTCCCTGTAAGCTTCATTAAGAAAGGCAATCATGTATATTGGTCGTTTTACGCATTACACGCACGTGCATGCATGTGCATGATGATAATTTCATCTTGTCTACAGTTTTAATACATGTATGTCTTAATGTATTTCTGGGTAATTAATTCTGAGTATCAAAGCATTTCTTCAAAAAAATATAAAAGTTGCAGCTACATAAGCATAATATTCATTTTACGCATTAATTGTACGCGCGCGCACATGCATGCATGTGAATGATGACCATGTCATCTTGCCTACACTTTTAATTAAGGAATCACTGTCTAGTTAGAAGAGTATGCCAGGGCATCAAAAACGTGGGATAATTTGCATAACGGGCAAAGCCCGTTATGCATAAATTATCCCACGTTTCCAACTATCGTTGATGTCCCTGGCATACTCTACTAACTAGACAGTGATTCCTTATATTTCCATTTCATTTTGAAATAAAATTGTAAATTTAGATTTTAAAAATGTAGACTAATAGATTTAAATTACACGAGGCCTCACGTGTCAATTTCAATAGTCCCCGCCCACTGACGTCAAACACAAAGAAAGCCGCACGAGATTTACAGGCCTCCTTAGCGTCAGACACAAAGACAGCCGCATGAGATTTACATGCACATTAGGCCTTCTTAGCTCCTGACCTTTCGCTTTTCGAAATTTGCATTCAATCAGAATGATCAAGAAATCAACTCTCCTAACTTTCAAAGAGTTATCACAGAGAAAACAATTGGAAATGGAAATATTATGTGTTTATATTCTGCGTATCAAAGCATTTCATAAAAAAATATTAAAGGTACGGCAATGTCAAGTATATTTGTCATTCTATGCATTGCACGCACGCATGTGCATGATGACTATGTCATTTTGCCTACACATATTTTATATATTATCAAAGCGTTTCATTAAAAAATATAAAAGTTTCGGCAATATCAAATATATTGGTCATTTTACGCATTGTACGCACACACGTGCATGCGTTTGC